GTTCAAGAATTGTTATGTGTGTCAGTCAGATTGACTACTTTTTGTTTGTTTATTTAGAGAATCTTTTTTAAGATTGCATATATTATTTATATCCAAAATTTTACTTACAGGACAAAAACGTCATAAGAAAGAGGCTGTATTGGCAAACAAGAAAGTCTTGAAGACAGTTAGGAGGAAGCAGCAAGAGCCAAGGGAGCCTAAGCGTTTCAAGAAAGAGGAGCCAGCTACCTCTACACTCAGAGGTATAACAAATAATCATAAGAAAGATGCAACACAGTTGAGTAAACCTCAATCAGCCTTAAAACATTTATTTAAGACTGCAAGACTTGAGCAAGGGGAGGATCACACTGTTAAGGTAAGGGCTTATTTGACCTGCTCACTTATTTGTACTTGAGTAAATCACACCTTTATCTTCTCTAAATTCATCTTCAAAATAATTATGAAGAAATGTAAATGATTGACAGATAATTATAGTCATTCATTCATTGTGTCCCTTCCAATATGTCTCAAATTTTTCATATTTATATTTTCCTACACAATGACAAGTTATCAATAAATCTTTAAATGGTTGAACAATATACCTATGTAACTGTTATGATCACTAAAACATAATTATATATAACTGTACATTACCAGTACAATATATAACTATACAGTACTACGAATTTAGGTAAATTTCTCGAAATCAATTGCTCGACAGTAAATTGCTCGAAATAATTTCTCGAACTCGACAGTAAATTGCTCGAAATCAATTATTTAACGGTTGAATACTGTAGCAGTTCGAAGCTCGAAGCACCACGTCAGTTGAGCACTGCGCCTGCGCCGTCTAACGACACGTCAACGTAGCAGGTTATATAAGGAGCCTCAACACTCTCCTTAGCAGTCAGTCTTCTAGGGCTTTCTCTCTGGGCTGACTTACCACACGGTGGCAGGGCTACTCTCTGTACGTGTGGTTCTCCCTTTCTTCCCATAGCAACCATATTCATTGTCATTAGACAATTGTGTGTGAGTCTAAGTGACTTTGTATGGTGCTGCAAGGGCAGTGAATAGAAGAGTAGAAAGAAAAACTAAATATTTACCTTATTTATCCAATGGCCACCCACCAGAGGTGGCCATGCCACGGGAAGGAGGCCATTGGCCTCTGTAGGATTCCTCCATTGTTCTTGATAATTTTGCCAATGGCTATTTTGATGCCTTGTACTGTACTCTAAAAGCAAAGAGAATGCAATCCTTTTTGGGGCAGCAGAAGTAAAGGAGGGATGGGCAGAGTATGTTGACAAACTATATAATGATAAGGATAGAGTACAGGTAAGGAACAAAAAAGAAATAAAGATCAAACTACCAATTCTAGAATCAGTAGTTGAGGCAGCTGTTAGCAAAATTAAAAATGATAAAAGTCTGTGGGGTTGGTCAGCTTCCAGCATAATTTATAAAACAAATACAGTATAGTCTGCATTTACGCGGTCAATTGAACCCGTGGAGGTCCGCGTAAAACGAGAAACGCGTAAATGAAATAACAGAACATATGGGATTAATTGAAATAGAGACTGGGCCGACCCCCAAACTCCACTTTTTCCGACACAATACATACCTTGTAGTCAAAATAACATCTTAATTTTATGATGGTATGCACACACAATTAATAATTAAGAGAAATATCAATAATATTAGGTTTTTTAACACTTACGTTAGTAGAAAAGCTGGGTCGGCACACGTGGATGGCGGCTGGTTCCGAGGCAGAGGGCAGATTAGTTGCCCTCTGGTGAATCACTTTCACTTTCACTACTCGCAGAGGCTTGCAGGGCCTCCCAGACAAACCTCTCAAAGTCCATATCCTCACTGTCACTATCACTATCACTGACTTGGGCTGGCTGTGGTTGTGGTGGGTTGCGGGCGAGTAAGTCCTCAATACTACGTTGACGACTAGCATTGATGTCGTCGAGATAGATCTGGATATACGGCTCCATAACTTTCGTCAGATGGTTATTAGACGCTTCATACCTATGCTTGTCTGGGTCGATGTCAAGGATGAGCTTAAGTTTCTCCCCCAACTCGATGATTTCCTTCACATTACCATGGCTTGGTCCAGGTAATTCAATGTTTTTCTCGGGTGTTGGGGATCTCGCGGAAGCCATTGTGAGTTGTGAGGGGAATAGCGGGCACAAGAGAGAACTGTATACGAGGACTGAGAACAATGAGACAGGCCCGGCTAGGTCAGCTACTTCTACCCTCTGGTGGCAGGACATGTCATGTTACATTAGACCAATCACAGCTAGCGGCGGAGGGAGGTAAGGATGCATGGCCCAATCACAATACGATACGTCATATGACGTCAGCGATAACGTAAGAGCGGCCTAGTGCGCACCACTCACCATGCCGCTTCCCGCGTATGGTCAAGAATGGACCGCGTTGGTAAAAAATGGCGCGGCGGTCTGGACCTCTGCAGTCGCTCGCCGCGTAAATGACCAAATTTACCGTGTAATTAAAACATTTTCGTTCTGGCAAAGCACCGCATAAATGACCAAACGCGTAAACAAAAAAAGCATAAATGCAGACTATACTGTAGGCAAGAATGGGTTCTACTGTTTTACTTAAATATGTACAGTAGCTGTAATTCTTTATTCTTAAATATTCACAAATCTAGTTATATATTGTTGATATTACCACTCCGTTCCAGAATATGGGTCCAACTAAACATATTTCAACTTGGTAGAAAAATATTAACACACTGTATAATATGAGCCTCTGAAATCTGTATTTTTTTTTCTGCTTCCAGGCGTACGATGCACTGAAGTGAATCATTTTGTACTTGCACACATCTAGCTTTCCAGTTTTCTATAAATATCACAGTTCTGTGGGTGCAGTAACTAAAGGTGTTATTTATTTTTATTTATCACACCACTGGTGCTTTGCAATGTATTTCAGTAAATAAATCAGATCAAAATGTGTAAACAGTAGTGGTGTTGCCACCTTTGATATACCGTAAATGGTCGCATTTTTGCTCGTCAATTTTAAACCACATGATCATTACAATATAGACACAGTGAAAGGGTTAAAGCATCTGGATTTGCACTCCCTCGAGAGATGTAAGAGTGAGGGGCGATATGACGGAGGTGTATAAATGGAAGTCAGGGCTAAACAAAGGTTATAGTAATCAAAGACGTGACCGATCGCCCAAGCGGCTGACAAGCCGATCAGTGGCGAAGAGGATAAAAAAATCACAAAGGTACTTAAACTATCCAACCAGGAGTGAACTAACTTATAGCAATGGTTTTAGATTAGAAAAAATTAGATTTAGGCATGAGATAGGTAAACACTGGTTTGGAAATAGAGTAGTGGATGAGTGGAACAAGTTACCAAATATCATCATTAATTCGAACACGCTGGATAGCTTCAAATATAGGTTGGACAGATGTATGTGTGATAGGGGTTGGGTGTAAACGGGTAGTAGGCAGCTACCAAACAGGGAGGTACTACTGCCTGGGAAGATATTGGAAGTATAATGTATTGTCTAATGGTAGACCCTGCTGCCATATGGCATCACGAAAATTGTGACCAAGTCCCAGGTTACTGATCTGACTTTCTGCCTCATTTAAACACAATTGCAGAGTCTCAGTTGTTTCTCTTACTTTGACAACACAACATACATGCTGTATATTTCTCACTCTTGATTTTTTTTCATTTTTGTATTTCTTTTATTATTATTATTATTATTATTATTATTATTATTATTATTATTATTACATTTTTGCCCCGTAGGCCCCGATGTGGGTCAGTGACCTGTGCCCAGGTGGGCTAATCCCCGTAAAAAACAAAAAAACAAAGGACGGTCCATAGGCCTACTGCAGTTTTCTCCATTCTTATGTTCTTATATTAATGTTTGGGCTCATTTTCATCTCAAAATGCCATTTACGGAGATCTAATTTTCTGATTGGTCATATTTAGGGCTTTTTTCTATACCACATAATGTGCATGATGCTCTGTGCTCTGGTGTTTCTTCCACATCTGGTATTTTTTCTTACAGTCTGCCCTAGATCTGAGGTACTGTAGTATGCATTTGGAAGGAGAAAATAAAGAATGAATAAGTTGATAAAATATATGAAACTGATGAGTGGCAGTATAAGTAAAAATGAAGTGAAGGAATGAAAGGGAGAAAGAGAGGAAAATTTGTACACATGTGAAAACACAGATGCAGGAAGGGGCAAAGAACAATATACAGTATATAAAGTAGTGTACAGTAGTAGTATTTTACTTTGGGTTTTAATTACATCTTTAATGGTTAGAATTACACATTTTCATTCTAAAACCAGTTTCTTCTTGTAGGTGATATATGATGATGAAGAAGATGGTGATGGTGCTGCAGGTGGTGGTAAAGGAACAAAACATACATCATCTAAGATGAAACGCTCATCATCATCTACAGATGTGAGGTTTACCCAGCATTCCAACAACATGTACAATTATACATGTAAGTGTTTCATCTGTGCAGGTAAACAGTATCTCAAGAGCAAACACATTTTCTCCTTTTGACTGTCATAATTTTATCTCTTAACTGCCTTATCCGTTGTGCCCTGATGTGGTGTTCCCTTTCCACCACAGGGCACCACCATCATTTCTATCCCCTGTAGTATCTTGCCTAATTTAATGGGAGAATGGCAATTCACATGGTCGGTCTGGCTGGGGCGTGTATTCTCTGTTGTTGGTTACAACGTGCTTAACACATTTCATGTTTACACAAGCCTAAACACTTTCTGACTTTGGTAAGAAGTAACATAATATATAATGTATATATATAATCAATAAAGGCAGCATATAAACATACATATATATAACACCCCCTAAAATTCCTGCACATAGGAAAATGTTTCTAAACTGGATAGTATTAGTTTTCGAGGTGAGGAGGGGACAGGGGTAGCTTGTGACAGCACTAGGATCCCGCTTCCTCTATCAAGGAATAAAATATTGAAATTGAATTGGTGAGGAGGGAAGGTATGTGACTGGATGGATATGAACTTACAAACCAAATAATTTAAAAGAGATTGATGAAATATACCCAGTAGCTACTTAGTAAATTGGCCAGCCAACTGGTTCAGCAGGTCCATTCAGGGCCTCCAGTTATACCAACCTGGGAGGTAAACTGCTGCTTCTAGGCAACCATAACTTATAGATGAAGAAAAATATGGAGTCAGTCATGACCCTCATGGTATGAGTGACCCCAGCCAGTATTGCCCATGACCTTGTTGAAACACGCAGTCTTTTCCCACCACACACAGGAGGTTGTCTACAGGAGAGGCCAAGAAACAACTGAACAAGTGGGTGATATGACACTCACATTAAAAGCTAACATACAAAATACAAATGTGCAACACAACAACCTGTACACATCCCTTGTCTGTTTGTTTGCATACAGTGCCGGATTAACCATGAGGCACTTGAGGCACTGGCCTCAGGCCCCCCGACTCTAAGGGGCCCCCAAATCCAAACATTTTTGAAGTTGAAGCGTATAATACATGAACTTCGTTCAACGATGTCCTAGCAACGTCTCAATTTTCTGTCTCTTATGAACATTGAATGTGTTATTTTGCAGAAGCTTAATATTGATGAAATCATTGCTGTATATCAGTTTATACATGAACTTCGTTACAATATATGAACATTGAATATAGCATTTTGGTATATATATATATATATATATATATATATATATATATATATATATATATATATATATATATATATATATATATATATATATATATATATATATATATATATATATACACACACACACACACACACCTTGAGGGTAGGGGGCCCCAAGTTGATCTGTGTCTCAGGCCCCTATTAAGCTTAATCCAGCCCTGTTTGCATACGTAATACTATGTCACTTAATTGTGGCAGTTGCAATACTAAAACTATTCTAAAGTAGCTATGTATGATTACTTATACAGCTCATGACTGTACGACTATTAATGAGGAGTATTTTACTTTTATCCTCTTCACCACTGATCGGCTCGGTAGCCGTCCTGTGACTACATTTATAATTTTTCTTGTCTGGGAACATCCTGACACTTTTACTGTAAACAAATCCACCATAGTTATACTGGTGAAATAAACAGTACAGTACCAACAGAGCAAGTGGACCACATCACGTCTATTGTTATTGTTAGGTGTGGTTCTGTTTTGTTAACACCAATAATTATGTCATAAAGAATACTGTAATCTACTTTACCTTTCCCCTTTGAGTACTGACTGTGTCCACATAAAGGTAGTTTGTGTGACTGAGAGATAGTCAGTCTGTCATTGGCAGCCATATAGTCATGATTTCATACTACAGGTTGTTTGAATTTCATGATTGAATGTACAGTAATGATTTTGAAAAAAATCTGTTATGATCTTAACTCTGAGTACAATAATACTATACCAACACAAGATATAGCAAAATTTTTAGGCCTGCCGAAAAATAAATGTTTGTATTGTACTGGTGAATTGGTTATATTTATAACATTGACATTACAGGTACTGTACTGTGTTTTCAGGAGCATTTCTCTTTACTCTACTTGCATTTTAATTCAGTATACTCATGAGAGAAAAGTACTGCATTGTTTATACCTGTGAACCCTATTTACAGACTGTGCTGAGTGTAAGAAGCAATACAATAGAATTTGTCCTAAACATCCCATGACACTGATACTGGATATACCTGTAAGTCCTGTGTTTCTCCTATACGAACTGTTAGTGTTAGTAGGATACCCAAAAGAGGAGGATTGATCCTCAACACCCACTCTATGACTCAGCCTTGAAGGAACAGTTTGTGTATAATACACACCCAAACCTAATCTTAGTCTCAACAGACTTATACATAGGTCATACGACCACCCGCACTTACGACCTGCCTCAGTCGTACCAAAATTTGGTCAAATTACGTATTTTCGAGTCCCAAAGTCAGTACACAGACAAAATTTTCATTTGTAATTCACTTTAAAATGCCTGGCAAGCTTAAAAGTGAGAGTTTTGTGGTGCTGAGAAGAAAAACAACCCCCATTTTAGATTTTCTATGTATTATTTAAGCATTTCCGACTTACTACCATTTTGACTTACGACCTGGATTTGGGTCCCTAACCCCGTCGCAAGTCGGGGAGGAACTGTATATAGTATTTTATTAATGTTTTTAATGTGTTAGGTAGTAAATAACAGTAGTTGTGTAGTATTTATCATTAGTTACGTAGTTTTTTGTTGTTCATGAACTGATTTTGCATTTTTGGTGATGATGTTGAGGTTTTCTTGTCATTGGGGAACCGACACCAAGTTATTTCGGGAAATTAAGAACCAAGCGGACTGTGAAGGGCTGCAGAAGGACCTCTGTGGACTCCAGGAATGGTCGAAGGAATGGCTGCTGAGATTCAATGTCACGAAGTGTAAGAGGATGCACCTGGGGCGTACCAACGGTAAGGAGGCGTATCATATGTCCCAACGGGACGAAGAGACTGCACTAGTTGAGACTGTGTGTGAGAAGGATCTAGGTGTGTATGTTGACAATGAGCTGAAGTTCTTGGGCCATTGCGAGAAGAAGGTAAATCAAGAAAATTAATTATTGGGTCTTATAAGAAGGTCGTTCAGATATCTAGATGGTCCGTCCCTCGTAACAATCTTCAGGAGTGAAGTGCTTCCTCATCTGGAGTACAGGTATCCCCCGCATTACGGAAGGGTTCCGTTCCTGGAAAATTGACCGTATCGCAAAATTCCGTAATGAGTAACCTATTTTCCCATTGACTTCCATTATAAAACTGGAGATGCGTTTCTACGGAATTTTTTTAGGCCCCAAAAACGTAATTCAAGCACTTTTATGAATGAAAATAAACATTTATAAACACATACAATACAGTACATTAAATAATTCATGATATACATGTAATATGAAGAGAAATACAGTTGGAATAAATAAAAATATTGTACTGTACTTACCACAAAAGATGTTGACTGCTGCGTGAGGATTGATGGTGCGAAGGAAGTTATTGGGAGGGAGAGGGAGAGGCACTACTCTCTTCTGCCCTGCCCTGTAAATCATCATCTGCTTCTTCATCTGCTTTCACCTTTTTTCTGAATAACTCATCCAAAGTTGTTGCACCTTCTCCTTGTACAGCTCGGTGTAGGAACTGAGAGCATTGTTAACTGGGGTCGTTATCAGCTAAGATTTGCAGACCTTCCTCTATTAGTGCAAATGCTTTTGAAATATGCTTTGTTGTCAACTGAAGTGGGGTGGGTGGAGATTCTATATCCTCTTCTTGTCCTGCAGGTTGCTCTTGTTCCAGCATCATCAGATCTTCATAAGTCAAATATTCTCTATGGGACTCTAGCAACTCAACCACATCATTTTCCACGACTTCTTCAAAGCCTACATTATTTGCAAGTGTCACAATGTCTTGTTGAACTTTCTGTAGACTTTCAGCTTGTGAAAAACCTTGAAATTCATGGACACACTCTGGCCATATGTTTTTCCATGAACCATTCATAGCTGAGGTTTTCACTTCATCCCATGACTCGGGTATATTATCCACAGCATCCAAGATGTTGAACTTTTTCCAGAAGTCCCTAATTGTAGGTTTATCCTCCCCATCAATTGCTTTTATGAGCTGCAAAAAAGTTTTCCTAAGATAATATGCCTTAAGGTTAGCTATCACACCTTGATCCACTGGCTGGAGCAAGGAAGTTGTGTTCTTGGGGATGTACTCCACTCTCACAGTATCAGAAAGATCATTTAAATTTACTGGGTGGCTTGGTGCATTGTCTAAGAGGAGCAGTGCTTTATTTGATATGTTACGCTTGGCATTATATCTTTCTACAGCAGGGCAAAAATAGTTAGTGAACCAGTCTTGGAAAAGGGTCATAGTCATCCAAGCCTTTTTATTGGAACGCCAAATCATAGGTAGATTAGACTTGGCATAGCCCATGAGAGCCCTTGGATTTTCTGAGTGATACACAAGTAGGGGCTTTAATTTCATGTCACCTGAAGCATTTCCTCCCAGAAGAAGTGTTAAACGATCTTTGGATGCTTTAAAGCCTGGTGCTGATTTTTCTTCAGTGGAAATAAAAGTTCTAGCAGGCATGCGCTTCCAGAAAAGCCCAGTTTCATCTACATTGTACACTTGTTCTAGTGTGTAACCTCCTTCATCAATAATTTTCTTCAGTTCAGCAGGATACTTATTAGCTGATTCTGTATCAGCACTGGCAGCTTCACAGCTCATTTTTATGTTGTGTAAATTAAGGCGCTTCTTAAACCTTTCAAACCAGCCTTTACTAGCCAGAAAAGGTTTAACCTCAGAAGATGCACCTTCCTCTTCCTGCAAATCATTATATAAACTAATGGCTTTCTGTTGAATAACCATAGTGTTTAGTGGCACATTGTGTTTAGTCTGATCTTCAATCCAGACACTCAGGAGTCGTTCCATATTCAGCATCACATCACTTTGATGAAAATACAAGGTTCGAGCAGTTAATGGAGTAGCTGCTTGAGCACTTGACCTAATTTTGTCCTTATTATCACGGATTGTTCCCACTGTTGAAGTAGCAAGACCTAATGTTTTTGCAATCTGGCTAAGTTTTCTCTAGCATCAAACCTTCGTAACACATCAAGTTTAATATCCAATGTAATGCCTTTGCGGCTTCTTTTTGCACTCCTGGGGTCACTTCCACTTGATGGCCTCTTTCCAGTCATCTTGAATAATGGTAATGTACTGTACTGTACTTACTGTATGTTTGTAAAAGTTAAATCAAACTGCTGGGGCTTGAAAAATGCGCCCACACTGGATGTAAACAATGGACTGACTCCTCTTGGCGACGCTACGCTCGGCGGTAGCAAACACCAAGAAATCCACACCTAACAAATTATCATTTTTAACGAAAAAATTGAATTTTATATAGTGATTTTTTTTTAATTGTTAAAATTTACACCAATTTCCGTAAGGGCGGATTTACGGGCTGTAACGCGAAATTAATGGTCGTAATTTGCAAATTCCGTAAGAGCGAAATTCCGTAACCCGGGCTTCCGTAACGCGGGGGATGCCTGTACTGTCACCCCATCTGGTCCCCGAGATATGCTAGGGACTGTCAGTTGGTTGAAAATGTTCAAAGTTGGGCCACCAGACTGGTGCCTGCACTTCGGCACCTCAGTTACCCTGAGAGATTGGAGCGCCTGAACTTGCCTAGCTTATACTACAGATGGGCAAGGGGGGACCTAGTTGAGGTGTATAAGCATCTCAGGGGTCACTACTCAGTTGAGTGTCCTTACTTGGAGCTGGTGGACGCTCGCCCCATAAGGGGTCACAGCTCAAGATTGAAGAAGCCGCAAGTCCAGAAAACCGTGAGGGCAAACTTTTTTGGAGTGAGGGTTGTAAACTCTTGGAACAATCTACCAGAGAGTGTTGTGACGGCACCGAGTGTGAGCTCTTTCAAGACAAGACTTGACCAACACTGGAGCGGGTTCAGGTACATTCAGGAGCCGGTTCAGGTACATTCAGGAGCCGGTGCATGCCCAGTATTTGCCAACAGTGCGTGACAGAGACGTGACCGATCGCCCGGGCGGCTAGCGAGCCGATCTTTTGGTGAAGAATATAAATGAAAAGAGACGTGACCGATAACCCAAGCGGCTAACAAGCCGATCAGTGGCGAAGAGGATAAAAGTAAAAAGTAAGAATCCTATTTTTCCCATTTATTCTTTTATTTGCTATATGAATGATTTTTCAGGAACCTAGCTCATTTGTACAGCGAGGGATACCCGTAGTTATAATGAAGTTTACAGGTGTCTTTATATGTTATAGGTACCCCGTGATGGCAGAGTGGAGGAGCGAGCTCGGCATACAGCTCCATGGCCTTTATTCATTGCAGTCTCCAAAATTAAAGGTGCTGGAGAGGGTGTTTGGACTAGTGCCACTCTCCCCCAGAGCCTTGTCTTTGGGCCCTGTGAAGGTCACATTATAAAGAAAGCTAAACTAGCAACACAATATGTATGGGAGGTAAGACAGTTTATCAGCAATAATCTTTTAATATAATTTCTGTATAATGTCATCTCTTTCTGACTGTTCTGTGTGAGATCATCACATTTATGCCTTGAATATTGACTTTTTTTAATAGATACTATTGTTGTTAGGGAGTTCATCAGGAGTACAATAACCCTAGATATGCAAATTTGTCTCTTAAGGTTAACAAAAAAAAAAGAAAAAAAAATTATGCATTAGAAATTAAACAAGGAGACAAGTATTGCCAGTGTGAGTTTAAGACCAATCCAGTAGAAAAAGTGTATCAGGGGGGGCTTACCAGGAGATTCAGGCCTCATTTTTGTAGATGTTTATTAATATGCTTGTGTGTGATCTACTATCTCACAGTTAACCCCTGGCATTATACCATCAAGAAAAATTTCAGACTTTCTATATTTTAATTCTTTCCTAACCAGGAGTGAAGAGATGAAACAAGACACAGGAGTTTAATCTCACTGAAGATCAGATAAATTCTAGAGTTAATTTTTACCCAGTATTGTCAATAGTGCGTAACAGAGAGTCACCAACTCCCAAGTGGCTAACAGGCCGACGATCAGTGATAAAGAGAGTAAAGTTAAGTAAAATATTTGCAGTGTAACACATGCAATTTTTATTTCAGATCCAAGGGAAATATGATGTCGAGAATGATTCTGCCGACAAATCCATCAGCAATTGGGTTCGCTACATTAACTGTGCCAGGAATAATAAAGAAAGAAATCTTTTTGCTATGCAGATTGAAAATGAAATATTCTACATTACCATGTGCCAAATAGAAAGGTTTGTCTCAGTATGAGTTAAACATTTTGCATAAACAACATGACAGTCTATGATAGTACTAAGTGAAGAGATAATGTATGAAGCACAGTTGAATGCTGTTAGAATTCACTACTGAAAATGGACTTAGGTAAGAATCCATAGCCTTGTCCAGTACAGTAATATCTCCATTAGCTGAAATCCCTCAAACCCGGAACTCTCTCATATCCAGAATTGAAATTTTTTCGGAAAAGTGTTCCCAAAGCTGGAATTTTTTAGAAAATTCCGGCTTTGGGAAAGATTTTCCGAGGGACACATTTTCTGGAAAATTCCGAGAAAATTTTCCTGATACTATGAAAATTCCGGAAAATTTTGGGGATGGAAAAAGTGTTTTCTGTGTTTGAGAGATGAAAATCAGGTTCATATTCCGGAAATTCTGAGAAAATTTTTCCGTTACCCGGAAAATTCCAAGGATGAGGGATTTTTTCAGACTGAGAGTAGTCTCGTTACCCGGAAATTTCTTATTCCCGGAAGTGCTCTGCACCAATTGTTCTGTATTAAGGAGATATCACTGGATTATAAATGGATTGAATTTAGTCTCTCTCTCTCTCTCTCTCTCTCTCTCTCTCTCTCTCTCTCTCTCTCTCTCTCTCTCTCTCTCTCTCTCTCACACACACACACACACACACACACACACACACACACACACACACACACCGTCTCTCCCCTAACTTGTGGGATATACACAGAAATGGCGGTCATCAGATCCTTCTTACTAACATTTTCAAAATCGTAATTCTTGGATTTATCTTTTTCACCTCTTGCACTTTCTTCACCCACTTTTCAGTAATCAAAACCCTTACATTATCTGTTCTGGATTAATTCCCCTTCCAGAATAAATTGTAGCTATCATTCTTCAGGGGTGGATCCTGGAATATCAAAGGAACGGTCCACAAAGTTGTGGGTGGGGGAACATGGCGAGTGCATTGAGCACACCCAGCTGGGGGGTTTTGGGGAGGTACTGTAAGCGCCCCCCCCCCCATTTTTTTTGCTTAAATCTGACCAATATCATGGGCATTTTGAACCCATTTTGAAACCATGTGCACATGATATTAGGAATTATTCTGAGGTCAATAGTACAGTATAGTCTGGATTTACGCGGTCAATTGAACCCGTGGAGGTCCGCGTAAAACGAGAAACGCGTAAACGAAATAACAGAACATATGGGATTAATTGAAATAGAGATTGGGCCGACCCCAGACTACCCTTTTTCGGACACAATACGTACGTTGTAGTAAAAATAATATCTTAATTTTATGATGGTATGCACACACGCATAATATATAAATAAGAAAATACACTACTGTACTGTACAGGTATAAGAGAAATATGAAGGTGTTTAACACTAACGTTAGTAGAAGAGATGGGTGGGCACACGGGGATGGCGGCTGGTTCCGAGGCAGAGGGCAGATTAGTGGCCCTCCGGTGAATCACTTGTATCACTATCCACCACAGACGTTTGCAGGGCCTCCCTGACAAACCCTTCAAAGTCCATATCGTCACTGTCACTATCACTGACTTGGGCTGGCTGTGGTTGTGGTGGGTTGCGGGCGAAGAACTCGATAATGTTACTTTGACTGCTAGCATTGATGTGGTCGTGATACATCTGGACATACGGCTCCATAAATTTCGAGAGGAAGTTATTAGACACTTCATACCGATGATTGACTGTGTCTTTGTCAAGGATGAGATTGATTTTCTCCGCCAACTCGATGACTTCCTTCACATAACCATGGCTTGGTCCAGGTAGTTCAAGGTTTCTCGGGGGTGGTGGGGGTCCAGCAGATGCCATTGTGAGGGGAATAGCGGGCACAAGAGAGAACAGTATACGCAGAGACTGAGAACAATGAGACTGGCTCAGCTTAGGTCAGCGGCTTATTCCCTCTGGTGGCAGGCCACGTCATGTTACATTAGACCAATCACAGCTAGCGGCTGAGGGAGGTAAGGATGCATTGCCCAATCACAGTCCGATACGTCATATGACTTCAGCGATAACGCAACAGCGACTTACTGCGCACCCTGCCCGCTCCGCTTCCCGCTTAAATGATGGAATGTACCACGTAACTAATAACTACCGGTCTGGCCAGGTGCCGCGTAAATGACCAAACGCGTAAAGGAAATCTGCGTAAATCCAGACTATACTGTAATTACTTTTTACTACTGTATATAAAAATGCCTGAGTACAATGCTGCATTAAAGAAAAAGTTGGAATTTCTGATGAAAAGGAAGGGTTCCACGGACCCCCAGGATCCCCCCCTGGATCCACCCTGTTCTTACCAGAGAGTATCATTGCTGAGCAGCCTTTCCACCTTGCCCTTGCATGCAGCAGACATCATGTTTTCAATGGCTCAGTGTCTGCACATTTTTAAGCCCCAGCTTTCAATGGGCATATTTACAATTAATTTTGGGTTCTTATAAGTTATGAAATATAAAATTAACATTGTATATCTTTTTCAACAGGGATACAGAGTTATTGACCTGGTATGGAGAAACATATGGAAACCATCTTGGTATAAAAGAAAAATTTTTTATACAACCAATGCTAAAAAGTAAGTGAAACTTTTATAGCTTGTTTTTTCTGCAGTACTACAGGCACTCATAAGTCAATTTCTGGATGCCTTTTTAAGAGAGCAGAACACATCAGTTATGACAAGTAGAGTGAATGTATAAATGACACTCCACATTATTGGGGTCAGCAAGAATATGTGTCTACTGTTATGTCTTCATCTTCTGTAGTAGCCGCCAGACTGGTTGTTGTACAGCTGCTTAACATAATCTTTGACATTTTGTGTAACATATTAATAGAATTCATTTATATATTACCTTAAGAAATTGGTACAGAATAATAAATGGTGTTATTTGAGTTCCAATTTTTATTTGAAAACTTGCAATACATGAAGTCAAATGGAATTAGCTATGTGATTAATGTTTTTTTTTTCTTTTTACTTATTCTTCCATCTGTGCAGAGCCTGGTATTGAGGGGTGGTGTCAAGAATGTAAAATTTCATTCACCTCCAAGAAATTACTTTTTGAACACCAACTAAGATGTACAAAAGGCACCCGGATGTACCTCAAGAATATTAAAAAAACATATGCAGTACCTAGACCAGCACCTAACACACGTAGTCACTGTCCAAAAAGAAAATGTAAAGTAGTTCTGGAGAGTTTACCTATTGAAGAATACTGTATGAAAAAGAAACTCTCCAATCTCATTCCAAAACATGGTGATGTATGTCTTAAAAAGCTCCAGGATCATGATGTTATTTCTCAAACCTCCCTTAGATGTGATGTGTGTGTTACCAAGTCCAGTAATCATTGTGTTGAGAATAGCAAGTTTTACGGTGATATTTATCTCCAGTCTGTTCAACACAGTCTGAGCTCTGAGACGACATCTGATCATAGTATTAATCTCAGCAGCTCTTCTTCACAGGTCATGCTCACTCCCAACAGGTCAGCTGATCAAGGTGTCACTCCCAGTAGTTCATTTGACCAAGGTATCACTCTCAACAGACCGTCTAATCTAGGTATCACTCCCACTAGACTTTCTGATTGGGGCTTCCCTCATAACCGGTGGTGTGATGATAGTGACAGTTCCAGCAGTCCTGCAGGTCTGGACATCAGACATAGAAGTTCTTGTCATCAAGTTGTGAACTCCAGTTGGTCTTCTCAGGAAGATGTCGACCCCAAATGGTCTTCTGATGAAGGTGCCATTCCTAACAGTTTGGAAGCTAGTGTCAGTAATATGAGGTCTTACTCTCAAGATATCTACAATGACTGCTTGTCTGATGACTATGTCTGTCCCATTTGTTCATCTGATGAAGATTTTGCACTCAGTTGTTCTTCTGATGAAGATGTCTGTCACATTTGTTCATCTGATCAAGATGTTGATCCCAACTGGTCTTCTGATCAGGATGTTGGTCACAATTGTTCATCTGATCAAGATGTTAATCCCAACTGGTCTTCTGATCAATAAGTCAATTCCAACAGTTCTAACGATTAGAACATCTTTCTCAGCAGGTCATCTAGGCAAGGTGTCAGTCTTAACAGGTTTTGTGATCAGAGTGTCAGATACCATAGGTCATCTCTGATAAGGTTGTTTATTACTCACTGGCCTTCTGACTAGCTTATGAGTCACAACATTCCTCTGATGCAAATGTCAGTTTCATGCGGTCCAACAACACATCTTTAGATGGCACTGCTGATCTAAGCTGGTTTCAGGTGATGGCATCATTTTCATTGGGACCCAAGATTCTTGTCCCAGTCCCAGTAAGGTAGTGGACAATGTCAGTTTCAGCAGCTCATCTGACTGTTGTATCTGCTTCACAGGGTTTCCAAGACATATTATTAATTATAGTAGGTGCAAACTTCACTACAAAAGTGGTACCCAGGTTGACAACCCCTTATCCGAAATTAAAAAAAATGAAAACCTCTGAAAACCGAAAGTTTTTTTGTGGAGCATCACATACCCCCGTTGCATTCCGAGCTATATCACAAAAACTGGTTTTTAGAAAAAACTGCTTTTTTATTTAATTTTTATTATTTTTATTTATTTATTTATTTATTTTATTATTTTTTTTTTACAGGGATTAGCCCACCCGGGCACAGGTCACCGACCCTCATCGGGGCCTGGGGGGTGAAAATGTAATAATAATAATAATAATAATAATGATAATAATAATAATAATAATAATAATAATAAAAATAATTTATAGTAAATAAAATTTATAATAAAAATACGCAAAAATAAAATAATGATGATAATGATAATAATAATAATAACAAAAATAATAATAATAATAATAATAATAATAATACAGTAATGATAATAAAATAATAATAATAATAATAATAATAATAATAATAATAATAATAATAATAATAATAAAGAAATAAAAAAAAGATCAAAAGTGAAAAACACGACCAATATCTATGTACGTATTATTATTATTATTATTATTATTATTATTATTATTATTATTATTATATTGTTACGTATTACATTTTCGCCCTCCAGCGATGTGGGTCGGTGACCTGTGCCTGGGTGGGCTAATCCCTGTCAAAAAAAAACCTAACTTAACCATTCTAAAATCCAAAAAATTACGCCAGCTCCAAGTAAGGACACTTAACTGAGTACAGTAGTGCCCCCTGAGATGCTTATACACCTCAACTAGATCTTGATGTTAGCCTCAATGAATCCTCAAATTATTGTACCATATTATAGTCTCAGTAGGTCTCAGTCCCAGTAATTCCCCTCATCATAGTATTAGTCACAACCCAAATCACAGTCTAAGCAGGTTTTCAAATAACTAATGATCCTAACAGCTCTCCACATCACACTTCCTATTGTAACAATTCCGTGAATTATATCAGCAGTGTTTACTATGATAAAGAATCCTTGTAAAAAGTGATGATAATGTGCCTGATCATTTCATCTGCCCTGAAATGTTAATTATGTGTGGTAGTAATGTCAAAAACATTGTTGCCAAAGGACTTCCAAAATCATGTCAGCCTTCACAGAAGTACAAAAAGACAAAATAACCCTTAGTAGTTGTGATCTTATTCAGGTGTCTGAGTTCAAGAGTAACAATGATAAAACTTATGTGTGGCCATGAGTAAGGCTTGTTGTGATGGTTACCTGAAGGTAGAGGAACATGAGGATAGTGCAACAAGGCAAATTCATGCACAAAGGTCACCAAATAAAACTTTTTTCTTATTTTAATAAAACAATAATATACTTTTACTGTTTCCAAGAAAAGAAGCCAGAGTGCTCTTACAAATGTTATTATTTTATGCAATGGCTAAGCTGTTATGGGCAGCAAGTTTAGAGGTTGTTACTCTTGACATGAAAATAAGCCACATTGAACTCTGTAGTACATCTAACCCTGGGTACTGATATGATCAGGTGGATGAAACTGTTGTTAGCAAGATATGCAATTTCACTGCTTGTAACTCATATTATTTCAATTAAATATTCATTGAAACTTTGAGATTCATATAGTTTCTTCTTTAAGAATGAATATATATGTCACAAAAGTGCAACACCCAACATTTATTATAAACATAATATGGGGAAATGCCAAACTTGTGATAGATTGAAAAGATTTAAATTTTTCTCATTCTCCCACTTCCAAAAAGTCAGTACATTACTAAAGCAGGCAGGATTCTGTGCCAGAACACGTCTATATCTGTATCCACAGAAGGTAAACAGGACAGATCTTGTCTCCAAACACCAATGTACAGAACCTGGACATAATCTTGTTCAGTGTCCAAAGTGTAGACAAAAATTTACTAACAAATACTATTGCCTTTCTGAACAATAATACTGTTTGTGTTTTTTGGTATATTTTCTCAGAGTTGCACAGACTCTTAGGAAACAATTTTTTTTAACTATTTTCTTTAGTTATTGGCTTCTGTTTGCATATAATATACAGTTGCTGGTACAGCAGTAACGCGCATAACTCGCCAATATGTCAAAAGTTCGAGCCTCGGCCCGGACACACGTGAGAAGGGTGTTATCCAGTGTGACCCTCACCACCAAACACCACAGGTTTCCTCCTGTACTGACACTGGATAAACCACCCAAACTGCTAGTAAGCTGATAAGTGGCCAATATGATTTAAAAAAATAAAAATAAAATAAAAAATTAGATATTCTAGAAGTAAAATTTATAAGAACAGCTTTCAACTACTGGTAAGTTTATCTGATTGATAATTATTACTTTTTTTTCTCATTGCTTATCAGCTTAGTAGCTATTTGGGTGGTTAATCCATTCTTTTGTTACTCTATATTAACCTTTATTGTCCAGTGTTGGAAGAGGAAATCAAGAGTACCCGAGGAATACCTGTGATGGTTGGTAGTGTCTCACTGGATAACACCTTTCTCATGCGTGTCTCAGGCCAGGACTCAAACTCATACCATAGTAGTTCAAGATATGTGAGCTACTGCTCTACCCCCCATTTACTTCTGATTTATTTTATGTTTGTAATATATTGTTTATTCTCTCAGAATTTTTTTTTTTTTTTTGCCATTTCAATATCCTGGAAAAAAAATCAGCATATCTCTTCTGCACATACTGCTCCACCCATGCACACCTAGGTACCTGTCTCTGTGTACTTTTTACTCTATAAAATTCTCAGGCCAAGTGTAAGCAATCTACTGGATACCTGTTGTTGCTTGTTTCCCCAACAGATTCTCCACAAGTTTATATTTTGCATGACAGCTTTTATTTTCTTGAACTGAAATATACATATTGATATTCAAGTTGAGTAAATTTTTGTCTCCAGTATTCTCTAGTACTTTACAGGACCACATCCACTTTGTGTGTCTGTAACCATCCCCTCATGTGGTTGTCCCAGAAAATAAGTATACAGTACTCTATGTAGATTGTTTATTTGATTGATTTCTAAGCTGTAATTGATTATGTGATTAAAACAACACATGAACCTCAGCATCTTGAATGTTTATTGTGGATTTTGTCCAACACTTTAACCTCCTCATTCTCTTGCTCTGGATACAGCTCTACATGAGTAAGGTAAATTCCCATGTGTCACGCTAAGCAGTTCTATATTGCTCTCATCAGTTATTCATCATCCTTCAGAGTGAACATAAGAAACACATGTTTCTCACCAGCTATTTGTAGCTTTGTAAAGACTTCTCTTAGTTTCTTTAAATGGCTTTGTAAATCTTTGCTTACTATGATAAGATCATTTATATAGGCATAGACTGTGTTACCTATCATTCCAGCAAACAAGGTATTTATCATTCTTTGGGATGTTAGCAGCACATTCCTCAAACCAAATGGCATTCATAAGAATTCAAAATGTCCCATTGGCGTACTGAACGCAGTAACCTCGCGGGATTTCTTATGTAAGGGAATTTGCCAGTACCCACTAAGCAAATCTAGGTTACTGAAGATGGCAGTGTATTTTCCTAGAGACTGTAGTAAGTCAGTTAGGACAGGCATTGGGAACCTGTCTGGTACAGTTACCTGGTTGACTCGTCGCAAATCTATGACTGGTCTCCATCCTCCATCTTTCTTGGGAACTAGTAATAGAGGCGAGTTCCATGGTGATGAGGATGGTTGGATTACTCATTGTTCTACCATTTTTTGTACCATTTGTTCGACTACAGCCCTTTGGCTGTGGGGTAGCCGATATGCTGGAATGTAGATTGGGTGAGTGTCCGGCTTGAGTGGAAAGTGATGGGTTGTCAACGTTGTTTTACTTCGGGGTTCTCCAGGTAATGCTATGATTTCCTTGAACTCAGCTAGTAATTCTAAAGATAACTTTTGCCTCGGGGATGATCGACTACTTTCACGTGTGGCACTATTAACTCTGCTCTATCTACAATATGTGATTTTCGGTAGAGTACCATTGTGTTACACTACCTATTAGTACAGTGATCCCTCGGTTAACGAGATTTTGGTTAACGAGTTACCTTCCATAAGATTCTTAACTTCGGTTAAAGAGCAATCCCTCGATTAACGATTTTTTTACAAGCTGACCTCAACATGTTTTCGCTTGCATTTGGCGGTCCACCAGCTGTAGTATTAGTCTGCCAATACAGTAATCGGTTCTAGGGCTTAAATTCCTTACTGTTTTAGTAAATATCAAGAAGTTTATACTATTCAATAATTTTAAAAGTTTAATATTAAATTTTTTAGTCATTTTAACAATTATTGAACATAATTGAAGGTAAGGAAACTAGTTTCATGCGTGTCATCCAGCCTGGCAACACACCAAACAGGTGCCAGTCTCTCTGTCTTTTCAGTGGAGGTAACATCTTGCTTGAGACTCTCTTCAACTAAATGCTTTTTTCTGTGTTTCCAAGCAAATTATTGGTCATTTTGAAATTTATTTTACATATGGACAAAATATAATACAGTGCAGTGTTGATTTAAAGAAAATAATCTTGAATTACACAAAGAGAGCTAAAATTTTATGGGTGAAATGGAGCCATGGGGTGACTTCTCTTCCACCCCAATGCCTTCTCTTCTCCCTTCTCCTCCACCCCCATTCTAATTCCCATCATCATCATCATCATCATCCAGGAGCCTTCTACATACACACCTCAAAGTAAGTGAACTTTTCTACCTTTTTTGTTGAATTTAGGCAATTTTCGGTGAGCTGGAACCAATTACCCAAAACCCATTGAAACAATGGTTTCGGTTAACGAGTTTTTCGGTTAACGAGCAACCTGCTGGAACGGATTGTGCTCGTTAACCAAGGGACCACTGTAATTCTATTGGTTCCGCAACAACTGCTTTGTCGTAAACAAGGAAATTACCTAAATAACATCAGTTTCTTAAAGTTAAAGGTCCGGCAGTTCTATTGGAAACGAGGACATCTGTGAGACTACCTAATCTAACCGTGCTTAAGATAAACTCAAGTGACAAGCCTTTCACTCAGACACATAATTTCTGTTCCTTCACTCACATTTGGCAATCCTACTGTGATTCTAGTTAGTTCCTGGCAAAGTAACTGTTGTACACCAGTTGAAACAGCAGGCATTAAAATCCAGTTCTTGCTGCTTTCATCCCGAATGTCCTTTGAGCTACAAGGTTGAGTTTCAGGGAGTGA